TTTTTCTTTTTATGATTGGAAACCATTGTCTCTATTTAACATAAATAAGATGGAGTGTCTTACTTAGTTAAGGGATAACTTTAAAAAGTAGACTAAGGCATTGGCCATCATATACAAGATAATGGTGGTAGTAGATTCTAAGTGCCTTTTTAAATCTTTAATATTTTTCAACAGGTGAGTATATTTTCAGTTTCCAAGCAGTTACTAGCTTACTAATTAGCATTTGCTGAAGTTATGATCAACTACTTCCATGAAAGTGAGGTTTGAGTGGATGCTATTCCATTATTACTTAAAAATGTGATAAATGAAATGCTTATTTTTTTGTTGGTGCTAATGTAATGAGACTACCAAGAATTTCTTGATCATAACATAGCTTTTACCCAGGGAATACATGTAGTTGAGCCACAGGTTCTATAAAGTTGTAGTTCTTTATATCTTCCCAGTGAAGGTTTTGCCCTTGTTTACAAAAATAAAATGTGAAAATAATAACTGTATTTTAAACATCACAAGCCCCCACTCATAAAAAATTTCTTAATGTTCCTCTGTTTTGAATTACATAATTCTCCATTGTAATGAGTTCCTTATTTAAAAAAAAGGAAAGAAACATTTCTTGAAGAAGAAAAGGCAGTTCATTGGCCCCTTTAATGGGTGTTATGTTCAAAGGTTGATACATAGGGTAGGATGCAGGAAGAAGAGGGTGTCATTAGCAAAATTTATTTTTTCTTTTTTTTCTCCTATCCCTGGATGGGCATGAACCATGAAACGTAAAATTAAAGCTATAAAAATAATATTAGGAATGCCACAAAAGGTAAAATATGACTTTGAAAATGCCTGTCCTGGCATTCCTTTCTCGATACATCCTAGGAGGCATTCAGATTATAGGAGGCCTCAGTGAGAGGGAAGGACTGAAATGGCTCACAGGAGTAGTGTTATCTGTCCTTCCCTTCTTAATACAACCACGCCATACATATAATGGCATTCAAAGTGTTAAAATATGGTTTACATTCAGAGTCATCAGAGTTAAGTGGGCCTAATTATTGGGATTCAAGTATTCAGCAGTAACTTTCAACTTCCTGAACCAACATAAAAAGCTATTTGTATAGTTTGCAGGTGGAGTGGGGAGAATCAGTTCACGTGGAAGCAGTTTAGATAACTTTGCCTAGTGCTTGCATGACTTCTGAAAAGTAAATGAAGGCAGAGATAAGTCCTGTTTGCTCAAATTATCTTTCTACAGGCCTTTCCAGATTCTCACCAATTGAAAATTTCTCTTTCCTCATTACCTGTCATCTTTTTAAACACTTAAAAACTTTTATATATAAATCTGCCCTGTATCCTACATTATTTCTGTGTGTGACTTATCTCCACTAGATTGTAAGCCTTCGGAGGTCAGAAGAATGCATCTAAATTCATTGTATGTGCCACCACATCTAGCACAGTGCCTTACACTTACTTGCTATTCAATAAATAATCATTAAAATAATGGACATAATACTGGATTGCAGTTTGATGTTTATGAGCCCTTTAGATAAATGCATTTTGAATATTTTTCCTTTTTATAGTTTCTAAATGTACCCTGGCACACATGATCATTGTGGCATTTATAAAAAATGTAGATGTTTAATTGTACTGACTCTCCATAGCTAATGTTAGAGTCTAGAGCAGCACTGGCTAGTAACATAAATTGTATACCTCATACGTAACATCAAATTTCCCAGCCATATTAAAGTAGAAGGAAACAGGTTTTTAGTCCATTTCCAAAATATTTAATATGTAATCAAGTTTTAAAATTGAGGTATTTTATATTTCTGTTTTCATGGTTAGTCTTGTGTATTTTATACTTACAGCACATGTCTGTTCAAACGAGCTATATTTTAAGTGCTTACATGTGTCTAGTGGCTGCTGTATTGCACAGTGCAGGTCTAGAACTTAAGGACAGACAGTAAACCTTATAGTTGCCTATAAGGTATCTTAACAGCTTTGACTTCATGTCAGTTTCATTTTAGTTTATTATCCAAATAAAAGCTAATTGGTTTAGCTGTTTTTTGTCATGTTCATAAATCCATAAAATTTGAAAAAAAAAATTTGTATTAAGCATTGTACAAAGATATTTAACAGGCACTTTCCACCAATTTAATCTTCCCCAAAACTTTATGAAGATGATGTCTCTGTTTTAGAGTTGACAGTACAGGTGCTGAGATTGATGAAGTTAATCTTGCTCAATGACAGGTTGCTAGTAGGAGGTGGAGTTGGTTTCAGAACCAGGATTGGTTGTGGATATCCCATATCCCTTCTAGGAAGTTCAAATCTTTTAATACAAGGTTGAGAAAAAAATTCAAGCTCTGTCTGTTAAAGTGGATACTAGACCATAAACTTAAAATATTTAATGAAATAAAGGTTATATTCATTAGATGAGGTCTGTACCAACAAGAATTTAATTATCTTTCTTGCTTTAGGTGTGCATTTTAAAGAATTCCGACAGGCATTTATTTTTCCTTTCCTTTTCTTTTATTTTTTGGACCGATAAGGGGATCGCAACCCTCGCACGGTGTTGTCCGCACCATGCTCAACCAGTGAGCGCACAGGCCATCCCCATATAGGATTCGAACCCGTGGCCTCGGCGCTCCCAGCGCCGCCCTCTCCCGAGTGAGCCATGGGGCCGGCCCTATTTTTCCTTTTCTAAACGTAAGAGCAATATAGAAATTTAAATCGTCTATTGTCTAGTTAGCTTACTCTAATTGCCTCTGCTAAGAAAATCATGGGAGAGAAGTCTTAGTTGGGTGTTGTAAAGACACCTTAATTTGAACAGAACTGAAATTTTTGTCTTTAAAATATAGTGACTCTTGGTGAAAAGTTGGACAGTAACTTCAGAATAAGTCTTTAAGGACGCAAAAGTTTTAAGCAATAAAAAGCAATATAACTTACCAGACAAATAAGTTACAAAAGTATAAAGCACTGAAGTCCATAGTGCACGTGATAATCTGTAGATTAATCCACATAACCTTTTATACTTAAGTATAGCACTAGTATGGTCATATAAACGAGGCGTTATAAGTAATTCAAAGATGCTTAAACACTACAAAAAGTGAAATTAATAAGTGTTATGACCTCAAGACATTTTTAGAAAGTGCTAAGCTTTCCAATGATGTTACTTTGTAGTCTTTTTAAATGGTTTAATCACAGATGGAACAGCATGAGTGTTTTGGGGGTGTTAAACAATAATACCTAATGGTGAGGATCAGTGAAATGTATGCTTTTATTTACCTCTGTGGAATTGGTACAACAAATCTACAAAGAAATTTGACAGTATGTATCAATGTTAATATCCTTATTCTTTGACCCAATAATTGAAGTTGATCCTAAAGAAATAATTAGAAATGTGCATAGGTTTATGATCAAGGATGGTGGTAATCGTAGTATCCATGAATTTAAGTGGTTAGCAATAATGGAATAAAGCATGGTACGTTTTTTTTTTTTTTTTTTTTTTTTTTTTTTTTT